AAGGAAGTTGGATTATATTTGGCAGGTGTCAGATAAGCAGATTGTAGATAATTTTGTTGAATATTTTTACCACATCCTCTTAATTTCATATCTCCTCGTTTCTTCTTATGTTCTTCAAATGGTTTAAGTTGAAGTAGCTGTTAATAATGTACACCGTTTAAATATTTTTCCACTCCGAGACCGTCTTGTATTTTATTTGAGATTTTATTACTGTTCTGTGAATCTGGGAAAAAAGTATTCGATTACAAAAAAAAAATCAATCATTTTTCTTTCAAGAGGTTTTGATAGCCTATATACATGTATGAGAGACTATTATAACTGCATTTTGAAAACAAAAAGAGGAAGTTAGAAAAATAGAAACAGATAGAATATTTATGCGAATAGACATAGACACAGAGAAAGACGCAAACATATAAAGACAAACACAGAGACATGGAGACAGTGATATAGAAACACAGAGACCTAAATATAGAAACATAGATATATAGGCACAGAGATGAGATATAGAGACGAGAAACAAATACTCGAAGACAGAGATTTGGTGGCAGATATGTAAATACAGAGACTTGCAAATGAAGTCATAGATACAGAAAACTAAACAAAGATCTAGATACTCAAGTAAGATATAATGAAATAGAAAAGGAAAGACAGAGGCACAGAGATATAGGCATGCGTTTCTCTCCTAGATTTAATAACAGTCATAGAGACATAGTAACAGAAACCTTGAGATAAAGAGACACAAATCTAGATAGAAATATAATTCCGGTAAGAGACAGATAGGCATTGACAAAGTATGTGGAACGAGACGAGAAGACCGAACAAAAGAAGGCACCGGGACAGTTATGAAAACACGAATTTATAATAAAGCCAACCAATCATGAATCAAACAAGACGTGGAAAATGTGAAAACGTGTATGAAAATATGAAGTAAGGGCCCCTTCATTCACGCCGGTATCCAGGCCGGGCCATGTATGTGAAAAAAAACAGGAGGCAAACTTGAAAAATTGATGTTTTTAAATGAAAAAAAAAATAGTTAATAACCCCCCCTCATGAAAAATCCTGTCAATTGTTGACTGACGGAAATTGGCCAAATACGCCCGAGAGGGAAGCAAGGGCCATACAAAGGGAGAGAGAAAGAAAGAGAGAGTATATAACAGGTGGTATCTGTGAAATTTCATACTGTTATCTTCTATATTTGTCTAGGGAAATCATTATTCCGTGTTTGCAAGTAGTTACTATTGTTTCAACAGAACTTATCGCTTATCAATTGTTAAATCTGTCAACTTCACATTTTTACATAAAAGCCTCATTAAGCAAATACTTTCAATACGCAACAATCAGCACACGTGGAAATTGTTATGTCTGCGTTTCGTTGATAAAAAATCGACGGCTTCTTCTCGAGGTCATTACAGTATTTAACGAGGTGTTCAACACCAGACTCACCACAATTTCATTTTATCACAGTTATCAAATAATTGCCCATTTCAATAGGTTTATATGAGTAAGTGCTTAAGTGATGACATCCTTCCACGAGTTGTTGACCTTTATCCAAAATGTGTATTGATTTAGAAAATACTTTGAAGGTCAAATCCAATTCACTATCTAAATTCTTAATTCGTTGGGAAGATCAGTTTTTTTATAAAAAAGTGGTTTATTCAGGTTGTTCCACAAACACTCAAAGTCAAAGTAGTTTCGAAAGATATTTTTTTTCCTGTTCGTATCTGGAAGAAACTTCTATGTATGCATTAGGTACATTAGGTACATATACAGTGCATTTTTTAATGGAAAGGGGAGTCTTGTGACACATCATTTTGGAGCCCCTGACGAATACTTCACAACCTTACAATATAAAATCAATATCTTCACCTACTACAAAATGGCGGAACATTTAATAATTTTCTGAAGACAAACATTAATATTGATATTTCTAGAAATATTCCTTTTTATGTGCCATATGGCAATTACAACAACCCGATAAGGTTTGTTAAGTTATTTTTTGTTTATAAAAACGACAAAAAATGTCAGTACGACAATGAACATTATTGTTCAGTTAGAATATTCTCATTTAGTTTTCGGTTTTACTAGTAGAAAGGTGCCACGTCGACAATCGTTGAAATGGTTAATTCTCGTCCACTGAAAGAAAAAATTGAAGCGCTTTTTATTTACGGTGCGACGCGTAACTTTCACGAGACCGAAATGATTTTCAATGAACGTTTTCCGTATCGTTCTATCTGTAGAAAATATTTGAGGGAACTTCCAAATCCAAATTCACAACTACAGGTAGTGTAAAAAAGCCCCCAGGTCATCTGTCAATTCCGAAAGAACAGCAAGTGGAAATAATTGATGAGATGGTAGTAAATCCTGAACAGTCTACTTATTCCGTCGCGAATGTTTGTGAGGTGTCTCCTACTGTGTGGAGACTTTTGAAGAGGAATAGGTATCTTCCATACAAAATTAAAATGGAAGGTACACCAATTAACTGAAAATGACCCTGATCGAAGAAGAGAATTCTGCGAAATCAGGACGGAAACCATTGCAAGGCATTCTTCCTATCTCCACACTATTTGTTTCACTGACGAATGTACATTTTTTCAAACGGCAAAGTTCACAGAAAAAATTGCCATTATTGGAGTGACACCAACCCTCACGTTTTCCGGGAAACATACCCAATATCCAGAAAAAATTAACGTTTGGACAGAAATATTGGGAAACGATATTGTAGGACCTTTATTTATTGATCAAAATTCAACATGGGAACTGTATTTGATTATGCTGGAAACTACTGTCGACCCTCTCATCACTGAAATCGTCGAAGCGAATCTTAATGAACTCGATATGGATATTCCATATCGTATGTATTCCAACAAGACGGAGCACCACCACATTACTCCAAACAAGTGAGAAACTATTTGGATACTACTTTTCCCGGTCGTTGTATTGGCCGTCGAGGTCCTACAGAATGGCCAGCTCACTCGCCAGGTTTGACACCTTTGGACTTTTTTATGGGGATAATTGAAGCAAAATATTGGATATACGGCAGATAATAATAAATATTTGTATATATATTGACGTTACTGTGTTCGAAAATGTTCGGCGTGAAATATCGGATAGGTTGTTCATATGTCAAGAAAATCAAGGCAACCATTTCGAGCATCTTCTGAAATGACCTCAAGCTTATTACCTCATTTTATGTAGTTAAATGTCAATGTATTTAGGCAATTATTAAAAGTTCCGCCATTTAGTAGTAGTTGAAGATATTGACATTATATTCTAGAGTTGTGAAGCATTTGTCAGGATCTTCAAAAATATGTATCACAAGACCCCCCTTTCCATTTATTTTTTTTCCCAGATGGCGCCCAGTCGCTATCTTGAAAGTTTCATCTGTCAATTTTACCTCAAAATAAAGTATTCATGCATTAATTTAATTATTTCGAATTTCAATTTTTTGAGTTGACCCGTTCAAAAAATAAAAGGGGGGGATATTAAAGAAATGCACTGTATCATTGTAGCTAAAAATCGGAAAGCAAACACAATTTATTCATTATTCAACACCAGAAATCGATGTTTTGACCCGCCGTAGGTCTCATCAGTGGTGTTAGGCTGGACCAAAACCGTATTGCTGTCCTTGAGGGACAAGCCTGAGTGAGTGAGGACAAATTTCATTGGTCGTCGCTGTCGAACCTTGGCTTTGCAACTACCGCTTCGGGAAGCCTTATTTATCCATGATACTCAAAAATCAGGTTAGTTATTATTGTAAATATTTTTTCTTCCTTCCTTTGGAAATTCACCACATTGCGGAGGATTCTGACCTGAGTTTGGTTCACTCACAACTATTTTATGAATATGACCTTCTTTTGAGTATCTATATACAGCGGACTTGACCCATACATCATCAAAACAATTTATTTTTGTTAATGAGTTGAACTTACAGATTATTTGGACAATTAGGATGAGTAATTAGGTCGAGATCTTTGGAGATATTTCATTCAATTACTTGCAGAGTATTGCTAGAAAGTAACATTTATGGAAATAGTGAGCTCTTCTGATTACCTTTCACAATTGACAATTCTGATAGTAAATTGACGTTTCTGTCACTTTACAGTTGAGGCGATGGTAAAAAGTATTCTTCTATTTTATGAAATGAACAGGATATCTTTTCCACTCGAGGAATTGGAAAGGACAAGGTGGCAAAATCGAAGAATCGTTTTGGTGCAATCTTGAAAAATTTGGATGTGGGAGCGAGAGGTTGCAAAATTGAAAAACCAAAACGCTTCAAATTTTGGTGCCACCTGTGAAAGGCTCTTGAAAAGTAAGAAGAGAAGTCGTCCCTGGATATAACCTATTTGTTAATTAAGTTATGCTGTTTGTCATTTTTTAGAAAATACCCAATTTTTTCATTAGCATAAGGCCCTATAACTCGAAAATGATATTTGTCTACTTTATATTTGGGGTGATGATAGTAGCTGAACCTCCAACAGTTTGAGCATATGTTTGAAAAATATGTTTTTCCGTTAACCAGCTATTGCACCCATACGAACGATAACCTTCAGAAGTTGAAACTTGTACGAGCTAAGAACTAACGAGGTCTTACCTTTTAATATGTGATTCCTATTAGAACATTTGTACAATAATAAGAACAGTTTCCACAAGTAGGAAAACGATACCAAAATAGTCAGATCTTACGATAATTTAGTAGACACAACTCAAAGAATCAGCAAAAACATATTGGGTTCTCAAGAAATCTGGCTTCTTAACAAACCAGAAATTTTTTCTACACAATCTACCCCCGGGGACATAGAAAATTTTTGAGGTTATGTTTACAGCAGCTACCGGAGCCTAATTTTTCTCAAACTTACTTTGACGTCCCTCAATGAAGAAGAAATTGAAAACGGTTATATCGTGTATGAGGATATTGATGTATTGCACCCTGCACCCCAAATCCCTGGCTCCATGATCATGAACACCACGAAAAATGCCAATGCTCTCAAGCGCATACTCACCCCTCGATTCCTCCAATTAGACATGTCGACATAGCTGGCGATAATTCTTCACATACCATGAGAAAATCTGTCTGCGAGTCCGCGTAGTGCCACGATTTTGGCCACGTGAAACTAACCAAAACGCTGTCACTGACTGTCACACTTCCAATGTTTGTAAACTACAGCAGGCACGTCTGAAATTCTGCCGGGGCCTGCCGATGTCCATTCGGCGAGTAGCCGAACTGACACGCCTCCATTTCGTATCGCCGATTTCGGAAGGTCAAATATGCGCGGTTACTAGTGAAGGTTGAGGCTCGGATTTGTGGAAAAAAATGAGCCGGTGACTGGTGAATAGCAAGTCTATCAAGTTCTACACTGGATGCAATTTTTTAAATCAATGTTGAGTGTAATATTATGAAGCAAAATTCTCAAATCATGGTGGAGTAAAATCGTGAAGAGTAAACATGCGTAAAAAGAAAATATAACAACAGAAACAAAACCATGAAAATGAAAATGGCGTCAATCGGAAGTGAATACGTGGGATTTGGGAACAATACTCAGACCGAGAAAAATGCGAAAGTTAGCCTTGAAAGCTGGAAATCAAAACTACACTCACCATCGCAGCAGCTCAGGAAACTAAGTGGGCAGGGCAATCAGTGCTTGAGGAATGTGCAACAAGGCCAATATACAGTTACACTGATAATTGAAAACGTTTTTCACAATTCCATAGTTTGATAATTATGTAGAGTGCAACAGACTGTTGATTGACACTGGAAGTTACAGCATTCTGGAAATGACCTCTGACTTTAATGCCTCCAACTGTCAACTACGAACTGCCTTATAAACTACTGTTTCCGAATAGAGAGGACTGGATTCTCCGGGAGATGGAAATATTAGGAGCAGATAGTTGTTGGTTCACAGATGGATCAAAAATACCTTCCAGTTCTGGTGCAGGTGTTTTCAGTTGCAGACCTAGGACAGAGATATCAACCTGCCTAGAAACCTATGCGACTGAATTTCAAGCGGAAATTTTCGCTACTGAATTGTGTGCGGAGAGATTGGAAGAATACAACCTCGTACACAAGTCAATAACAATATTCTCGAACACTCAAGCGGCGTTGTAAGCTCTTGGTTCCTACCGAGCCACGTCTAAATTGCTAGCGAATTGCCAAAAACGACTCTCCTCGATAGAAAGACGTAACAGATTGTCTCTGGTCTGTGTTCCTGGCCTGACCTGCAAGGCGATGAGGCTGCTGACTCCCTTGCAAAGGAGAGTGCTGCAAGCAGCTTCATCGAACCAGAACCTGTCACTGTCATCGCTTTAGGTTTTTGCCAAACAAAGATTGAACAGCTGTATGGCAAGAAGATTTATGGACTTCTGGCAGAATCTTTCAGGATTGGCTCACTCCGAAGCGGTTATTCACCTTTCGAAGCTTGATACCAAACAGTTGTTGGACTACAGTAGGGATGAACTACGATGTCTAACAGATCTTCTCTCAGGTCACTGTCATTTGAATTATCATATGCAGAGACTCGGACTGTCGGATAACAGTGTGTGTCGCCTCTGTTTGGGAAATAATGAAACAGCAGAGCACATACTTCGTGCCTGCCACCGAATCAAGTTTTCAGAGTTTAGCAGGGCCGTACTCCTATCATCTAACCTGAAAGACCACTCACCATACGAACTAATCGGCTTCGGTAGGAAGCTGTGTTTATTTGGTCGAGTGTGAATAGGTGTAAACCACAATAAACCCTTGTGGGTTGCGGTGGAGGGTTGAATGGACCCACTCACTTTGGACCTAACCTAACTTGATAATTTATTAACTTGATTTTATCTTGGTTCAGCAATGCAACTTAAGGAACTAGTCACACTCAGTTTGCCAAAATCGTTAAAGCAGTTCTACGAACATCTGCACATGTGCAATAAACCATTCCTTTGAGAAAAAAGAAGAAATGTGCGAAAAGAGGAAGTGGAATCGTGTCCTCCTTTTAGTGTTTCCAAACTATTGCTTTCATGTGCCAATTTGAGAGTCAGCGGAAGGTTCGAATTTAGAGAAAAGAGCACTTTCTCCTCTTTGCGTGGACATAAGCTTTCTGATTTATCTTAGGAACTTGATGATTTCAGAGCCTTTGGTGCTTGCCTTAAACGATATTGGTCCTTTTGAAACATTTGCGACAATACGTCTTTAGAACACACACTTTGGCTTGAAAATTAGTAAGGACGTTCAGAACTGGTTCGGGGAGATTGAAACAACATCTTCAGCGATCTTGGACCCATCAGTATACTTTATCTTCGTATTTACACCCAGCTACGACTTGGCCTCTGTTTATTGTCTGAATATTAATACTAATTACGACATAGATCCCAGAAGGATGGTGAATCCTGATGCGACTAATTGCTGTTTCTTGATTATATAAACACTGTTGGAAGATCAGCATCACCTCTAGAAAAGCTGTATTGGACGCTGATGTGTCAAGCAGACTCAAGCAGTTTCATATGGTCACTGAGGTGTTGTTGATTCTTTAACCACAAAACATTTTTCACCTGAGATTGGGAAAATAGTTTCTCTCGCTAAAGTTCTGCTTTTATGCAGGGATTCTACTCCATTGTCTTCAGGAGAAAAGAGGCGATGAAGCGATATCGGTCCTTAGTATATACACAACAGATCCTTTTCGTAACATCCAAAATACAATCTTTTTATCGAAGGTTACATATTCAATATTGTGGTGAAGGGCCATTTGATTCTTTGAATTGAATATCCTTCCCACGTACCTCATACGGGATCTGTGAGTTCCTCTTATGACTACTTCTAGTCAACTACTGAGCGAATTTTCTGACCTAACTTCCTTCCAGAAAAATGAGTATCTAAAAGATCACTGGGATCTTTCTTCTGGCTGTTGGTATATTTCCCTATCAATTTTTCACCAAGCAGTTCCTGTTGAAACTTTCTTTCATGATAATTTTCTGGAGATGTTGGCAAGGTTCTATTCCCAGACCTCGTTACACATTTGCCCTCAATATCTTCATTTGGATTTTCTGAGTTTTTTTATTGCATTGGGTAGAATTATGACAACCAGAGATCTTCGAATTCATCTTATATCTCGTATATCACGCATATATTGCCTTACTTCTCTGAGCGATACAAAAATCTCTAGCAGAGGTTTCTGCTTTGACTTGCGAATTGAATTGTGGTCGTTCTTCCAAAATATTGGCATTTATCAACGTTTTGAAGGTTAGTACGACCAAAATACAAAATTGTCTAATAATCAAGAAAGTTAAGATTGATATCGAACTATTTGGTATATGCTGGAACTCCCAGCAATTCCTAATTCCAGAATTGGGTGCATTAAAAATATGAATATCGGACTTTCTTCAGCCAATAGCAATTCTGACAAAAATGAATACGAAAACACGAACTTTCAACCCTTGATCAAAGTATTTGATATGTGTAGTGAAAGATTTTTCTATTAGAAGTCAGATCAAAATGAGCAAATATACAATTGAAAACTATGACCATCAGAAGCCTACATGATTGAAAGTTGTTTGGGGATAGACAATTTTGAAGACACTGATAATATTTTTGGTTCATCGTTAATGCTTTCATTAGTCATCATTGGTCCTTCCGGAGTTCTTACCCAGGATTATTGATTATGATGAAGTGGCCGAATGAAACTGCAGAAATGTGTATTCAATGCATCAAAATAATATAAAACGGACTTGTTGAAACTATGGAAGAGTAATGAATTGTTCAAATTTTCCTCATTGGGTCAGGGGCCCCATTTACATGAAAATATGATTGATGTATGTATCCGGCGTATCTGTTTATGCGTAATTCTAATTTGTTTTTCAATGCTCTGCAGTTTTCAGTTTAAATAGAACTGAGACAAATATAGCAAGGGTGTTTTCAGTTTTCAGTTCAGGAGGAAGTTCATAATGGCATTATCAGACAATTGAGTATTTGGTGAAAACTTTATCGAAACCAATAAATCGCTTCCTTGTTTATGTCAAGTCGAAGGTAATTGGTGTAAATATATGTTTCCGGGACCTGGTATAAAATTTATCAAAAAAATTATTCACAAACCAAATCAGCTGAATGGGACAACATATCTGATGATATGAAAACTTTATCGAAACCAATAAATCGCTTCCTTGTTTATGTCAAGTCGAAGGTAATTGGTGTAAATATATGTTTCCGGGACCTGGTATAAAATTTATCAAAAAAATTATTCACAAACCAAATCAGCTGAATGGGACAACATATCTGATGGGGTGGCGTGTAAATTTGTCTGTGTTAATCCGAAGTCAAACCTATACGTTAGACATTTGTATATTGTTCATATTTGCATGTGAATCTCAAGAAAGTAATAAATCGATGATGTTACTATTTAAATGAAGATTCCCATCTGCATGGCACTTTCAAAACAGGCTTGATCGCAATTTTCAAGAAACTCCGATGTACTCCACAATTTTTGACTATTGGAAACTTTGCACATTGAAGAAGCCCACAAGAAGTCCCAAGTCTGTTTGAGATACGTTGATGACATCTACATAATATGGAACAATGGGAATACAGAACTAGACACCTTTCTGAAGCACATCAACCTCGTAACACCTTCCATCACGTTTCTATGGGGAAGGAAGTCCAAATAGTCTCCAAATAGAATCCAACCACCATCAATCTACCAAAAGAGGAATCATCAAGACTCTAGTAGACCGTGCTTTCGGGCTCTGTGATACAAGGGAAGGTTTCTTAAAAGGAATATACATCAGCAAAAACGATTTTCAACGAAATGGTTACTCCAAAGTGATAGTGGAACAGACTTTGGCTGAAAGACAGCAAGAACCTCGCAAGGAATAGAAGCCATCAAAACCAGCGCTTGCACTCCCCTATATCAGATGATTGTCGAGAAGAATTGCGTCCAAGTACAACACCAGAACCTGCTTTAGATCCAGTAACCCAATTGGGAGCACTCTCACGAAAACCAGGCTACCATACCCTGGCTGAGATTCCAAAAATTGCATATACCGGATACCCTGTGAATGCGGCGAATCCTAAATCGGTGAAAGTAAGAGGGCTTTGAAAGTCTGCATTGCCGAGCATTAGAAACACACAGCGAGGAGAAACCAGCAAATCGGGAACAGAAGAGCTTGTTTGGATCTAATAACATGACAACAATTGGCCCCAAGCTGAGATCATCCATAGCGAGAAACACTGGTTCAGGAACAAATTCAAAGAAGCTGCATATATGTTATCCAACGACGCATTTAGCCAAGCCAAGATAAGCAAAATATGAAAACCCATAATCAAGCCAAAACGATCAGCTCCCGCTAAACCGGTGAAGCAGGGAGAGATCAATTTTTTTGTTTAATTTTCATTTTATTTAATTGAAATTTTTTTTCAGGGTTTTTTAGCTTAATATAATTGTTATTTACAGCTATTCATTTTCAATTTTATTTGTTCTTTCTAAGATTTCAAATCTTATTATATCATTTTAGACAATGGCAGCCCGAACTGAAGAAATTCACTATTGAAAACTCTTTTTCTTCACCAAAAGATGAGGCATTTTACATCAGAGGTTACAAATTCTTCATGATAAGTCCCTAAAGCTCATTTTTTCTTCGTTATGAATAAGTTGGTGGTGAAAGATAGAGAGTAAATGAAGAAAATAAGGATATGTCTCAGTGTATAATATTCTTCTATGATATTTTTATTTATAGAGGATAGTGAATAGTATCTGAGGAGAAATGTTTTCTGTTTTATTTTGTTTCAATTGTATTTGCAGTTATGTCAGATTGTGAGCAATAACATTTATTTTGTGGTAGGTAACATTCACTTTGAACTTGACCTGCATTCATTCAGAACCGGTGCAATAACTTGAATTATCGGTTCATGCATTTTGATTACGTTTATCAGACTTGAGTATATATTGATTTTTATTCAACGATACTGTGAACATACGATAGAAATAATAAAAAAAAATTATGTCGTAAGAGGAGTACTGAGAAAGTTGTTCCAGTGTTGATAATGATGTTTATTTCCCAAGCAACAATAAAACTTATGAGAGAATGTCTGACGATATGACACAAATGGTAAATGCTGTTCTAATCGAATTTAATGGGTGGTGTAACAAGAACAGACTCATTGTCAACCAGAACAAAACGGTATACATGCAATTCGCGAATTCATCAAGAACTCAACATAATCTCAATCTCAGTTTCCAAAATAAACCTTTAGAACTGACCAGCTCGACAAAATTCTTAGGAACTATGGTTGACTCACTCCTCACATGGCATATAGATTATATAGGTATGTAAGAAATTGAATCAAACATACTAGCTGATGAAATCCCTCAAGTGCAAGTTGGATACAAATTCTCTCATATCAGTTTATTATGCCAAATTTCACTCGATCATGTATCAGAACATTTCGGTCTGGGGACTAGCTACTGGATCAGACAGGATTTTCATAAAACAAAAAGCACTGCTGAGATTGATATTTAATTTAGACTTTAGAACTTTATGTAGAAATATATTCCAACAAAATAAAATATTGACAGTTGCAAGTCTGTACATTTTAAAAACATTGACATATGTACATGAAAATAACGAACTTTTCCAAACAAAAACAGAGATGCATAGCTATAATATAAGAAGAAAAGATATGATCATAACACGAAAACATCATCACGCAAATTATGAAAAATCTCCTGAATTTGCCGGCATTCGAATGTATAATTCACTGCCAAACGATATAAAGACTCTGTCTCCTCATATCTTCAAAAAAAATTGAAACGTTATTCATCAGAAAAGGGTTTTCACACAGTAGACGAATTTACACTTGAAGTAAGCAATGAGCGATCGTATTTCTTTTGAAAACTTTATTTCAAAATGTCCTTGTTACCTCTCCTTTTTTATTGTTTCTAAGCAAGCTGGTGATTCATATTTTTCCTTTTCATTTCTATTTATATTTAAATAATGTATTTGTACCACATCTTACTTGGACTTCAGGGATTTCAAATCATTTTGTATATGGAAGTCCGAACTAGGGAAATGTAGATACGAGTTTCGGGAGTCGGGACTTTTTTATCGGAAATTTCCTCCTCTTTAACGAGCTTATTTCAAAATTGCTTAAATATCGATATTTTTTGAGTTATCAACGAAAAACTAAATACCATTTATTTTAAATCTTATTTTATTAATAACAATTGCAATTTTTTACCTGTACCAAAATCCTTCGAAAACATTTTTCTAGAGATGATTCCGAATCGAATGAGCTATCGCTCATATTTTTAGGACCTTCATCTCTATTTTTCATGTTTTTGAACTTGTTGATTAGACTATTGGCAGATATTATTGGAAAACCAGTTCTCCAGAGTGAACATTGTAAAAAAACGATAAGGAGTTGAAAATTTTATTGTTCTTTTCATGCATTTGGCTTTCTGATTCTGACTCAGTTCACTATAAATATCTTGACTTTCTCAAAGAGTTGATATGATATTTCACTCATAAGAAATAATCGGACTCTAACTAGAATCAGTTGATACTCTATGACTGAAAGGTCTATCAGGGGAGATATTAAGTTTCTATCTCAAAGGAATATATATGAAAAATTTTCACATTTTTAAGAAAAAATCGAATTTTCTATTTCCATTCGTACTAATGAAGATGTATAAGGCCTATAAAAGACTTTTCCGTTCATCATATTTTCCAAGAACTTGAAAATATGAGATTATTATGAGGACACGATATTAGAAATCACGGTGAAGGTCAGAAAACATTTCTGTTGAAGCGATAAGACAATTATGAAATATTTTTTTTATCTCAAATTCCCAAGGCCTGTACAATATATCATATCATATAATGAAAAAACTTCAATCTGATCTTAGCAAAATTATCGTGAATATGTAATAAAATAATTTTTTACCAAATTAAAAATAATGGGGTCTGTGAAAACTATTTTTTGCTATTGATAGTATCAACGTCAATAGTGAAATATGTAAATTCACCCTCTAATATCATTTCAACATATCATTCGTAACTGTTGGAAATCAGTTTTATAAGTATTTTTCCCAAGAATTTCAATGTTTTCATCAGAATTCAGAATTTTTTAAATTCTTACGTTGAAAGAATTTTTATTATTGATCAATTTTCTACCTATCTCACGTGAAAATTTCAAATATTTCTCGAAATTCTTATTCTCTAACCGATTTTCTATAAGTATCGACCCTATGAATTTAAAATTTTCATTTCCCAAATTCCTAATTCCTTCAAAATCCCTATTATCTAGCCAGCTATCTGGTGTTGGTTTACAAGTTCATCTAGTTGCCGTGCAGTGAAAGCTATAGTGAAGAGAGATGATGAATCTGGGAGCCTTCGGGAGCCTCGTTTAATCCTAATATTGATGAGATTGAGTCTTCTGTAGATCCTGTAGAAGAGATGTATTCACGTTCACATACATCCGTAGTCAAATGTCTATGACCAGTTTTGAAAAAATGGCTTCCACTGATTTTCGAAGGAAATTTGAGGTTTTAGACTTGTAATCCAATAAAAATAATTATGGTTGAGTCAATAAAGATCCACATACACTCTGATAATTTCAATGGAAAAGAAGGAGCTGTGACCCTCAACCGAATAGGGACGCCCATTCGAAGAAGCTCTTGAATAGCAAACAGCATGATGGCAGGTAGAAAAGGGTCGACGAATGTTATATTTTTGAGAAAACTACAACAAAAATATGAATAAAATAGTTTATTGAACAATTCAATGCCAATATGTGAATAAAACTTAACATTTATGTCATCTAAAGACTAACTAAAAGGCACATATATCACACCCAAATATGTCCAGAGTAAATAAAATGTAAGACATTCATTTCGATAATGAATAATTAAAAAATCATGAAGTATGACTAGAAAATGCAATCAAATCAAACAAATACTGAACTTGGGGATTTCAATCCGTTTTTTCGAAGATCCTATATTTCTGAACAAGTTTCTCAGGAAGTTCATATATGCAGATGGATCATTTGAAAAAAATCATTACATTCAAAAGGTATAGCTGTCAAAAACTATTGCACTGAACGTTTGGTAAAGGGAGTCCAATCTCCAAAACAATATCACAATTATTCGCTTGTTTTCTATGGCTTCTTCAATCACTATTTTTACTGCTATTGTCTTCTGTAGCGGGATTCCCCGGTGTAGATGCAGCGAAATCGCTATCAGGTGTGTTGAAGTTACTAGGCGTAGCAGCGGTACTAGGAAAAGCAGTGCTATTTGGAACATTCCTAGAAGGTTTATGGACCGGAGTGGGAGGAGAAATAATATTCGAATCTGGAACGAGCAGTTCGGCCTTTGCAGCTCCTGTCACATTGTCTACGGTGATTATACTTCCAGAATCATCCACTTCGAATCCTATAGAAGCCCCCAACTTGGCCGAAGCCTGCTGGAAAGTGTCGCTGAGCTTCAGCTGCACTACGTTGATGCACATGGACATCAACGCCAGTCCAAAGACCAGATACACTATGGATACTATCATGCAGATGGGATGCTTGGGAACAAAGTCTCCAAAGCCTATGGTGGACATGGAGATGAAAACGAAGTAGAAGGACGCGAAAAAGTCCCACTGTTCCCACACTGAGTAGATCAGGGCTCCGCAGAAGATGTAAGTAATGAGGATGAAGAGAGCTACGGAGATTGGTAGGTTGAACTCGTCGTCGATTTCGTAGTTTGATATGGCTGGGGTTGTGGGAGTTGCGTCTTCAGATATAGCTGTGGTGGGGACGGAGTTTTGGGATTTGGCGGCTTCAGGGTTCTCTGGGTCTGTTGCGGGTTCTTGGTTGGAAGCTCTCCGGAAGGTGGCTATGTCGTACATCAACTGGGCTCCTTTGAAAATTTCCTGTAAAAATAGAATATTGATAATGATAATTGTCTATGAAATGATTCATTGAATGAAACAAACTGTATTTGAATGATACCATAACACAACAAATTATTTTATTGGGAGTGTACAATTTTTTACACGTATTTAAATTAGAATATGATTTTTCCATGTGTTTTTACCACTTGCATATATTATTTTTCCATGATAATTTGCCATTGAGGGTGTTATTACCGGAATTTTCACTACATTTGGTCGACCACTGCGATGCACGTTTTGGCAGCTCGTATGGCCTCGTTTAAAATCTGCTGTCCTATATTTTACTGTTGTAAACGAAGCAAAAACGTTCGCTATCGATGCTTTGAAGATGGTGTACTATCTGATACCGTGATATGTTTCAAACAACTACCGACAGCTATAGGTCAGACTGGGTACTTTTGGGACCACTCTGGTATGTTATTTCAACCAATTCGTATGAGTAGACACGCTCGAAGGAGCTATTGTATCGCGAAACACGTGTTGCGTTTTCGTAAAACTGTTTAGTGAAAATCTCACAATGAAATGTTTTTTTTAATACGTTGATTTGTACTCGCCTGTAGAAGCTATTGTCTAGCGAAACACGTGTCTCAGTCATTTTATCACACAATTTCGTTTAAACTGGTTAAACTGGTTGTTGTGCAGGAAGAATCAAGCTACATTGGAACTGAACTATCTTGGTTGAGCAGATATGAATGCTTTCCATATCATTCAACCCATCTCAGTGCAATCAAAAAGAAGAAGCATACTGCTTTCGACTATCCTCACCATCGAAACTAACCTATCAAGGAACGGTATTCTATAAATTAGTGATAATTCCTATTTCAGGGTCTTATGAGCTCATCTCAATTTCGAATTCCAATCCTCCAACATCAAATACCAACTTAGGTGGTACTGGTTCAATCAATAAAACAATAACCTTTTTTTCTGAGACTCATCACCAGCCTGCTCAAAGTCGGCAAAAAACGCCACTTTCACCGGTTATAGCAAACATATATATGAAGTGGTTTGAAACGCTGGCCATTGAAGTAGCCCACAAGAAGCCCGAGTCTGGTTGAGATAGATACGTTGACGACACTTTCCTAAAGCACATCAACATCAACATCAACGTACGTCCCTCCATCACTTTTACAATGAAGAAGAAAGTTCACAACGAATTGCCATTCTTAGACGTTTTGGTGAAGAGGACCGACACTAAGTGGGAAACATCTGTATACCGAAAACCCACTCATACGGGACAGTATCTGAACCAGGAATCCAACCATCATCAATCGACTAAGAGAGGAATCATTAAGACTCTAGTGGACCGTGCTTTCGGGCTCTCTAATACAAAGGAAGGTCTGGAAAAGGAACTAGGCATCATCAAAAAAGATCTTCAATGGAATAGTTACTCCAAAGGGATGGTGGAACAGACTTTGGCTAGAAGACAGCAAGATATTCACAAGGAAGAGACGCCGCCACTTCTCTACATCAGAGGGTTGTCGGAAAGGATAAGAAGAAATGGGTCCAAGTATAACATCAGAACCTGCTTCAGGTCTGGGAACACTATCCGTAGCAGTCTCACGGAAACCAGAACTGCAATTCCAAGAATTGCATTTACCGGATACCCTGCGAGTGCGGAGAATCATACATCGGTATAACCAAGAGGTCATTGAAAATTCTCATTGTCGAGCACAAGAAACACACACAGCGAGGAGAAACCAGCAAATCAGGAATAGCAGAGCATGTTTGGACTCATCAATATAACATCAAGTGGTCTCAAGCTGAAATCATCCACAAGAAGCCGCATATATATTGTCTAACAATGCATTTAGCCAAGTAAGCGTAGAGATACGCAAAATATGGAAACCTATACCCAAGCGAAACACAACCAACTCCAGCTAAAACCGATGGAGCGGGGAGAGGAAAGAGGGAAAAAGGAATAGGTGAAGGCACTCGAATGATCTATAAATTGAATACACCAAGTAAATACATTATGAGTGAAATCAGTTATCAGTTACCAGCTACCTAGTCTGATTATGTTTTTATATATAAACCGCATGGAAGCAGAACAAAAGGAAATGTATTCTGTACTCAAGGTGGAGTTGAATAACATTATCAAGGAGAACCTTCTCATTCACCTGGTAACTTCATCATCCTCTTCATTGATCAAAAAATGGAAACTTTCTAACCAGAACAAGAAAGCATTTGCTGTAATTTTGAGAAAATAAATGGTAATGGCATAAGTACATGATCTCTTCTCTTGGAGCATAGGACACAATGGCATATAAAAAAGGTTTCTTATTAGTCAGTGGCCTATGTTTGAAGACTGGCAGTAAACAAATCTAAAAAAATTAACTTTAAATGTTCAAGCCAGTTTTGGATATACCAACACAGTAGGTTGAATGGATTGTCGCCTATTAGAAAACAACTACTCCCCTGGCTAATACCACGAACGGCGTTGGATTATGCATTTGTGTATTCCACAATTTCCTACAATATTATAGTATGGGGTCAGGCATCAGACATAACAAGAATTTTTGTTGCTCAGAAAAGAATTATAAGGCTTATCTTTAACATTAGTAGTCGCCAATCATGCAGACAGGTTTTCAAAACTAAACGGATCCTCACGGTTACATCAATTCATTTAATGAAACTATTATCATATATTTTCAATAACAAACATTCATTTCCCATTAATAGTGATTCACATTGTTACAACACCAGAAATAAAAATGATATCAAATTGAACAAGCCCAAACACTCCTATTACAAAAAATCTCCCATCAATGCAGGCTGCCGTTTTTTTAACTGTCTTCCGAAAGAAATAAAATACGCGGGATCCCTGGCGGTTTTTAAGTATAGACTCAGGGAAATCCTTATCAGAAAATGTTTCTATACTGTTGAGGAATTTGAATTATACTTTTCAATTTTGAGATGATATCGAAATGTATTTTACATAGTCTATGTTAGTCATCATTGTGCTTGTTTCGTCCTGTTTGTCAATTACAACTTAATGACACTGTTTTTGACTTATCCTATCTATTGTTAACAATAGTTGAAAGGATTAATAAATATTTTATATGCATATCCGAAATTTGCCCGATTCCTCTGAATAAGGAAAAAAAACTTTCTTAATAGTCAGTGCTTGAAGAATGACAGTAAACAAATAAGAAAGTTTTTCTTCCTTATTCAGTGGAATCGGGCAAATTTCGGATATGCATTTGGTCAGTACCTCGTCCACTAGATGGAGTGACATTTTGTTGTTCGCTCCAACGTAGGACGAGGAATGAAATACTCTGAAGGAATTTCGATTTTCAATTGTGGAATATCATTGACTTTAGATCGATGATGGCCACTGATGAGTGGCTAATGAGCCCGAAACCGGTCTGCAAGTGTGCCCGTTCCAAAATTGAAAGTCAACTCCTTCAGATGTATTGCCAATTGCATATGCAGGAAATTTTCTGTGAAGATTCCTGCACTGACGCCTGTCGGATGTAATCCAACGTCGTTCGTGGTATTAGCCATGGGAGTAGTTGTTTTCTGATATGTGTCAGTCCATTCAACCTACTGTGTTGGTATATCCGAGACTGGCTTGAACATTCAAAGTTCATTTCTTCAGATATAAAAAAGGATTGACCTTGGTCTTTCTCCATTCGTATGGATTGAAATTTTTCAGGTCATGGTATGCCAGAAAGATATTTTGAACAATCTACATGAAGGCTGAGATTTTCATGTCAGATGTAACCGGATGCAATGATGGACAACATGGAACATTATTTTAAATATGGTAATGAAAATCTTGGGGAATTTCAGTATTTTTTTTGCGAATAAAACTCATTGTAATCGAATTGAAAGAGTATAGCTATATTTAAATGAATTCGAACCATCCGAATAGGAGATTTGAATGAAATTCTGTAGCAGATTATTTCATGAGCTCATTTGGATAGTTGCATACTAACCTGCACATGTCCACTTTTTCTAACTCTTCTACAGCTACCGGTGTAATAAACTCTTCTGACGAAAGACCACAAGAATTTTATCCCTCTGGTGAACAATTTACCAAAATCTGTGAGAGCTATCAGGAAAAGAGGGATTCCTATGATCGAATAAACTATCGTCAAGGCTCTTCCTGTGGTGGTTGTTGGGTATATATGACCATAACCTGAAATCAAACGTTGTTATAACATTTTTACAAGCTTTCCTTCAAGACGGAGGAAGGGTTTGCCATGATATGTAATAGATATAGTGGAATATAGTTCACCGACTCATCTTATGGGTAATGGAAATGAATATGCGATTATAAAGACAAAAACTATGCAATAACATTCGATTCAAGCAATAATGGATATTTCTAATACACATCTGTGAGAGTGTTTCGTTGAAACAAAACCAAATCATTGTTGAAAATTTATACACAACATTCATCTGATTTCTGAATGTGTCAATCAGTCGATCCTGAAAAAAAAATTGGCACTACTACTTCTTCGTAGTCGATTCTAATGCATGTTATGAGAATAGTTGGTAATAGTTACAATGAATATGAAGTGAAGAATCACAGAGGGACAAATAAAATCTTATTTCAGTGCAATAGAATTGTTGCAAATGGGGCAAGTACGGCTCTGTACGCTCACGAAAGAATCATTGTTTATTGTGACTCGAGTTGGTACTGAAAGAAATGAAGAATACAACGAATGTGTTCTATCCACTTCAACTGGTTTACAGACAGCGACCGACTAGAGAAAAACAATTTTCCCAATAACTACCTTTTATATCATTGATTTTATCTACGATCGGTGTCCGGGCGGTTCGACGTGGGTGCTTTGTTCACTCAGTCAATCGGCCGATGTGTGAGTGAATGGTTCAAGCCCCAGGCTGAACGCTCGATTTTCACTTGCTATCGTCCAACCTGTGTTAGGAATCACACGTTAAAAGGTAAGACCTCGTTAGTCCTTAGCTCGCACAAGTTTCGTCTTCTGAGGGTTGTTGTTCGTAGGGGTATGACAACTGGTTAACGGAAAAACATATTTAAACAACATATCAGTTATTAAATTTAGATTTCAACTCAACAAATATATGAATCACATAGGTACAATTTGAGGTGGCAAAATTTCGCGAGAAATTCGAAAGCAAAACAAATATATGAGTCACATAGAAACAATTTGAAGTAGGAAATTTTCGCGAGAAATTCAAAAGCGAAAGACATTATTTTCACTTTCTCCTTTACGACCTTTATACAGAAAAAGTCTTCTAAAGAAATGAAGGTAACAAGCAATTTGAGAAAATTACCTCAAATTTTTTTTTGTATAGAGTCAATTTTTTATTTCAATGAATAGGTAAAATTTTCTTTCATGATGTTTGAAATTTTCATTTAGTTCCTATTTAAATCCAGCTAACATTATAAGTAATTGATCAGGCAGTAGGTCATATGATTAAAATTATTATTTCATAAAGCACTAATTAGGTAGAATTCAGTCATTATGACCACGTTATGACCACGTCTGAGGTAGCTATTCTATAGCAAAACAAGTAAGGTGGTTTTATAAATTGTCCAGTGAAAATTCCACAAATAAAGTATTACTTGAATATGATCAATAGTTCTGTAGCTGGAGGTTCATTCAGAAATACTGTACAGCAGAACCCCTTCTTCCTAGCAATCGGCATTAAATTATGTTACTAGATTTGATATGGGTAGCGAGTTCCATTTTGTGGCAAACTCTTTTCACAAAAAATGAACAGGTTATGAGAGCTCTTTCATTTCACCTCCTTTTTTCCATCTAAAACTTTCACTTCCAATTATATATTTCATTTTCTTACCAATGGTAGTGACTATGGTTAAAGCATAAACCACCCCATTCAAAAAACTCCATGACCTCTGCCCGCTGTAGCTTGTCATCCCTGCCTCATGAGCAGCATGAAGCTCCTCCTCAAAGGTCCTCAGTTTACTTCTCGCCAATAACTTCCAGTCATCCTCCCTCAAATTATGACTCTTCATCCACAACAAGTCTATGAAATCCCTCTTGACCCGCTTGACTCCGCATTTATAAAAGTTTTCGAAGCTGCCCTCCGTGAACTTGAAGACTATACCGCCTATGCCACAGAACATCATGATGAGAAACAACTCAAACATGCATTTATTCCAAAGTGCTTTGATTTTTTGGTATTCATCTTTTTTTTCGATGATGTATAGCTTGTAGATCCTGTAGACTTCAAAGAGGGACAAAAATCTCAGGACTCTCATCATATCTAGTGCAGATATACGAGTATCTTGCGGTTTGACCACAGGTTTGTTCAGAAGCATGATCGAAGCTTTGGGATCCAATATTTCTACAACCTTCTCAGAGTATTGCCGCTGTTTTTTCCTTTGTCTTATTACCAATTGAGCTTCGGGCCTCAACGGTTTGGGTTGGAAGGATTCTGTTGTGACAAGAGACTGCAAACTGGAGTCTGAGAATTTCCTGGCTTTCTGATTTTCAGCGCTCAGGAGTTGAGCTTTTTTGAAACTCTCTATAAGCTCTGCTTCGGTGAATTCATGTGGAGCAGATTGGCTGCGCTTCACTTGCTGCTTCTCGTATTTCTTGAACCTCTCCCTACCCCTTATGGCAGCTGCTGTAAGGGACTTTTTTGTTTTGTTGAGGAACTGCTTGACTTCTTCCTGGGCCATATCAGACAAGCTCTTTTTTCTCTCGCTCCTGAAGCTGTTGCTTCTGCTGACTTCTCTGCTGCCATCGTCTGGAATGATCTGTCCTGGTTCTGATTCCGCTCCGCTGTAGTGCTGCTTGGTGGAAGACCTGCTTCTCCTGATACGCCTCCTTTCGGGTGTCTTCGGCTTCTGCTCGGGAACTTCCTCATCGGAGGTTGTCGTTTTATCGTCTAAATTTCTCACTGGAGTGGACTCCCGCTTGGAGAAACTCGGATTGTGTTTCTTGGTGAATTTTCTTCGCTTTCTCGCCACTACATCACTGAACACTTGTTCCGGAGTTAGCAAGGCTTCTATTCGGGCCATGTCAACATCACCATTTTCGATTTTAGCATCGTTTTGTTCACTTGTATCGTTAGATGTTTGCGTTGAATCCATGATTCTTAGACTAAATTATAAATAGATTGGTCGGCGTCGTATTTTGACGCTGGTGGTTTATTTTAGGATCGAGCGAGATATTAGATGGAGCTCCAGTCATGACATTCGGTATGCTGTGTTTTATTTTCGTAGAAGGGAACAGTTAATTAGGAACACGCTTCTATTCTCTTTGAGAGGGAAATGAAAAATAATTCCTGAGTAACATGAAATGATAACATGAAAAGGGTGACAAAATCAACATCGATGTCAGGACCGGCTCTGATCACATTGTCGAGATATTTGGTGGCCCTATTTCAGTATTCAAAGATGTACTGGTGGAGAGAGGGTCAACAATAAGTCAAAGTTATTTCAGTCCAACTTCTACCAAATAAGATGTAGTTATGAATTAGAATTGGGAAATGAGATATTTTTTATTTTTATCAGTTCGGACTTCCATTGTCTAATATGACATAATGTTATTTGAAATCCCTGAAATAACAGATAAAATTGAAAAGATTAGCTGAAAATAACTGTTATATTAAGCAAAAAACCCTGAAATAAAATTATAATATAATAAAAATAAGCAAAATATTGAAAATTGAATTTTAAGCAAAGTTACTTCGCGACGTTTAGATTGTTAGTATCCACAATCGTCTTCGGGTGATAACTGGACTCATTCCCCCGAGATCTGACTTTTTATAGGTTATTCGATTGCTTTAACTTATCCCCCTTTTCCGCTTCGGCGATTTATAGCGGGAGATAATAATAATAATAATGATGATAATCTACTTTATTGTCATTGAGAATAAATCTTGTGGGCAAAGCTTGTGAAAAATACATACAAATGTAAGTATAGAAATATAAAATGTGAATATAAAAACACCTACAAATGAGTAAAGCTAGAACATACACTACAAAATATGCACATTTTGTCACGTAAATTTATCATTATAGAACTCTTGCAAATTATAATAGGGTCTATCAGCCAAAAATGTTTTTACTCTTATTCTGAACATTTTGTTGGTCAAATTTGTCTATATCTGACCCCATTGTAATAAATAGAATTCCTGACCGAATTTGTTAAAGGAATTGGCAATCTCAACGCGGTGGAACGGGTGCTTTAAGAATGGCATGAAGCCTCAAATAGGGACATATTTTTGTAAATGAGGCGACCTCGTTAGTTCTTAGCTCGCACAAGTTTCGATTTCTGAGGGTTATCGTTCGTAGGGTTGCGATAGCTGGTTAACGGAAAAAACAAATTCTAAACATTTTTTTCAATGGTGGTTATCGAGTCCATGGTGGTTATGGGGTCCATAAGCCCCATATGAATTATGGAATCTAGATTTACTATAAATATCTAATGGGCACCTAATTTGCACTTTATTCTTATACCCTCACTTATCGAGGAACGCACTGTAACAACTCAGTCCATCAGTCATAGTGGTTTTCCATAATGCCCCATAGGCATTATGGAATCTAGGTTTACTGTTATTTATCTAGTGAGCACTTGATTAGCACTTCATTTGGATTGTCTATGTATTAGTTTACGAGTATCTCAAGACTTTATTGCATATCGCTAATTTTTTTCTCAAATCAGGTATCTTGTTTTTTTTCCCTCATTCGCAGTCGTTTTCATCTTAATTTCTTGCAAGCACCTAATTAGCACTTTACTAGGTCGAGAGACCTGATTCTTAGATCTGTTGTTTAGCGAAATTGGAAGCTTTTGTGTATCAATTAGAAAATTTTACGATAGTGTTCCCTAAACATTCATTATTTAATTATTATTTTCATAATTTTCACTAGCATCACATACTGCTAGCAACGCAACTTTGAGTATTGAGTTGCGGCGTAAGTTACAGAGCACCTAATTTTTGACTTCAGTACCTAAAAAGCACCTAAAAAGTACCTAATTTTGGCATTTTCTAAATGCGATTTCCGTACTTTGCGTTGCTGGCGTAACAGAGCTTCGTTTGGGGGGAGTTGCCTACCTCTACGCTAGCTTGGCTGAGAAACTCACCAAGAAACATTGTTAACCACCTTCAAACAAAGATCTTTTTGATTCACCGCCTCAGTTCAGGTACTGAATTATTGATTTCGTTTAACCTAATTGCAGCTGTGCCAACAGAAACTTTTGAATCATTTCGAGTTGAGAAGCCACAACACATTGAGCCAAAGTATCATAAATATAATTATTCATGTGAACGTATGAGCGATTTATCGTCCAGAATGTAGTTCATGATAATTTCGAAAATGAGAATTTCATTTATCGTCGGTCAATGTGCAGTTACTGAGAAAACACGATGAATATAATGTCATCTTCGTAGGACGTCACATACAGTGGTTTCATATACTGGGTGTTCAGTGGATAATGGATAAGTCGATACCTACAACTAGATCTACCTGTTTTCTACTGATTAAAATAATTCATCCCAGTAAAAGATTCATAGTTTTAAAATTATAGCGACATAATATTATAGAAATATTCCTATGATCACGCGTTTTTTTTCATGTAATTTCCACAAATTTGAACCTATTGACTAGATATAGTTTTTACTAACATTTCTGATCAGTTCAGCAAGTGAATATGTTATTTTTTGCATCAATCACTCATTAAAAATAGATCAATTTTAAATATATTATTGTGAATGAACTTTGACAATCCATGATAAAATAAATATAGTTTGAAAAATCAAAAAACATGCTTTTAAAGAAGATCGAAATGAAAAGTTGAAAATATTTTTTTGAATAAGCCTGAGACAATAACGAACAAAAAATACTAGTATTATTGTAAAGGAATCATACGTTAATAGGTAAGACCTCGTTAGTCCTTAGCTCGCACAAGATTCTCAACTTCTGAGAGTTGTTGTTCGTATGGGGGCGACAGCTGAATAACGGAAAAACAGAAAGAGACGGGCGCTTGATATACAAAAAATATGGCACAAAGCGCCCATGTTTGTTTTACAATAATACTAGTATTTTTCATTCGTTATTGTTTTAAGCTTAATTAAAAAAAATGTTTTTCACTATTTAGTTCGATGATCTTCAAAAGCGTGTTTTTGTATTTTCAAACTATATTTATTCAATCTAAACTTTGGGATCCATCAGCCTTATATTGCTTAGAAAAATGACCATTGATATTTTCGGATTCCGAAGAGGGAGCCTGAAAATCATCTACCAAGCCCAAGGCAGCAGGCGCGCAAAGGAGGGTTACAAAAAAGGCAGCAGGTGCGCGTGTTAATGAAAAAAATACCTTTTTCCAATGAAGAAATACATCTAAAGTGAGTTCGATTTATATCAAGGAGGTTGAGTATAGCGCCATCTGTCCGCAAATAGATCAAGCAATAATGTCGATATATCAAGGAGGTTGCGTACAGCGCCATCTGCCCGCGAATAGATCAAGCAATAATGTCGATAATTCTGTCAAATACAGATCTCGAGCGTTACAAGCAAACAAAGAAACATTCATATATACAGGCGAAGCTAATAAAAGTGTGTTAAAAAAGATGTAGATGTTTGTTAAAACTGACTTGCTTGTTATTTTTCTCACTAGAACGGCTGATATTGCTATTCAATTGTCGAAGGGGCAATTTAGATTCCATATTTTCAAATGAAAATGTTATTAGTACTATAATAATTTATGACGATTCAAAATTCAAGTTGTTTCAAAAATTTTCTCCGATTACGTTAGTCTACTTTGAACTGTAATGAGTACTCATTCTATTCATTCGAAATATGCGCCATTTGAATCAGTGCACTTTTGCCAACGTCAGCATAAAAATTGCGTGCTCGAGATTGGATGAAGTCGACGAAAGCTGTTTTTTCTTGGTCCTGATTGATTCCAAAGAAAGTTTTCGAAGTGATTGAGAAGATGGTAGTCGGTTAGCGAGAGGTCTGGGAAGTATGGTGGATGAGGCAAAACTTCGGTGTTCAATTGGTTTGATTTTCGGACGTTGATTTGTGAAACGTGCAGACAGGCGTTGTCATGAATCAGAATAAGACCTCTTCTATTGTTCAGTGCCGGCAGTACATTTCAAAACAAGAATCAACCACTCCTTTATATAATTTGATTTCTACATAGTGGAATGGAATATGATTTTCAGTATGCCTAGAGGGACATAATGACTATCAGCAATAAACTGATATACTGAAACTGAGTAAATAAAAATTAAAAGATTCTAAACCAAATTCTAGACCAATTGTCTACTCTCAGAAAATTATGCCGATCAAGTTTGATTTTTAATTTATTTAATTTTTCAATATATTTATCAGTACAGTGAAGCTTTAAATTTGTCTTAAATCAAACACTCTTCATTTCTATGGATATCCATTATTACTAACATTATTGAAATTACTTCGACACTCTTATTGTCATAATCCAAACACGTTTGTTATAAAGATGGCCATGAAAGTACATCAGATGCTCAGATAAAATTCAGATTCAGATGAATTTATGGATTAATGTTGATGTAGCTTTGATGAATATTGGTTCTAATAAGCATTTAATGACATCTCAACCGCCATTCACTTCACTGCTGAAAATATGGAAACATTATTTGAAAAGAAACTTACACTAGATTGAAACCTTGAAAAGATTTCGAATTTATTCGATGAGTTATTGCTATTTTGATTTGATGTTTATGGCTGAATATTAAATATTATGTTCTAGATATGAAGTATATTCAGTTATTATGCTGTGCACTTTTGAAATCTCTGAAATGCATTTATTTTTAGCTTGATTTTTTTCCTCTATCCCACTCCACACACACATGGTGTCAAAAATAGAAAAATAGTTTTTGAATATCAGATAAACAACTTGAAAATTACTTGATAACTTATTGGATGAAAATTCCCAGATCAATATCGCATATTACATCACTTTTAATTTACATCATCAGTGAGGATTGTCAGCAGAATTATTCAAGGCGAAGAAATATTTCTTTTCAAATTGGAATATCGCTTTGAATGAAGGCATCATGTTGGCAGTTCGTATAAGTAAGCATATACGTCTCAACGAAAACGCCATCTATGGCATGGACACAAA